TTATTAATAATAATGAATAATATTATAATATATATCAAATCAAATCCAACTATATAGGTTGAATACCAAAACGTTTATTTGTGTAAATCATAATAATATGATTTGCACTTTAACAACCTTATAAACGTATAATGTAGGTAGGTATAACTTTATTTTTCGTCGGTATTTTGAACGGTTGCGAGCCGGTGGATAACAGATTGAGCAAACTTTCAAATATATTTTTTTCATCGAAGGTACCTATAGGTAACTCATTAAATACAATATTTTTTATCATTATATTTTTTAATTTTTACCTTTTTAGTGACAATTTGGATTTTTAATTCCTATCCCAAAAGAGAATATTTTCGGAAGTTCTTACTTTGATAAATAACACATTCTAATTTTGGAAAAGTAGATTATGAGTATTTTAAGTACTTAGAGTTTAGGCGAGCGGGCTGACTCGTCTGAAATTTGATTTCAAACGAAGTCAAAAATTAATATCGTCGTTCAAAAGTGCGAAAAACTTAAAAAATAACAACTTTAGAAAATTGAAAAATAAAATGTTTTCCAAAAATGTTATTTTGTAATGAATTAAATAGTTAAATCTATGTGCGAAAATGCGAAATGTATGTTAAAAATAACGTTAGTTTTTTCTGAAATAATGAATGTCATCATGTTAAATGAAATACAATTATTTCGATCAACTAAGTCGGTTATAATATCGTCCGCTTTACTATTGGCGCCAACTATATATTATATAGCGATTTTTTTTTTTTGGTCTTGATCGAAATTGTTGGAAAGTATTACCTTCAATATAATATACATATATGTATGTGTATATAGGTACCTGTACACATTTGCAGAAACGTTCGTTTAAGGGTTGAATAACAGCTGCTGTTATAATGCTATTATTACTATACATCGATGATGTTTTCAATTATTTATCGCAGTTATTATGGTTGACGACAACCGCGATCGAAATAATATTATAATAATATACGTAAGTGATCCGTGAAAAGACTTTTCCCATTAAGACTTTTTAACATCACACAGGGCATCATCGTTACGTGTGCGATATCACACGTAAACGAAACGAACATAATAATATGGTTTGACGGAAGCAAAAAAAAAAAATGAAAGCATAACAAAAAGGCTTCTCTCACATTTTTATATATTGTAATAGTTATAATGTTCTAATATTATAGTGTGCATAAGCCGTTGTGCTTACTGATTCCAACCGTATACCTACCTATAAATATATAATATATTATATTCAAACAAACACACACACACACACACACACACACATATATATATAATACAGTGAGTGTGCATTTTATACACCTATATTTATGCGCGTATATATATATACACACATAATGCACGTTGTTTATTATCGAAAGTTATATAAGACAAAAACACGACTGGAGGACGCTGCTTTTGTAGTAAATATTTTGGTCCGATTAAAATGGTGTGCCTGGAAGGGACGTTTTAACATTCATCGTCCCTAAATAAACCCCAGGGAAATCGTTTAAAACAGCCGAACCGCTGCTGCAGAGGCACACACACACACCATATTATATATATATACCTACCTCCCCTCGGAATAGCTTTCGAATTAGTGGTTAAACTGTATAAAACCAGCTTTGATAATGGATACCACGGCGTGGATATAATAATATATATATAATATGACTTATATATATATATATGTATTACAGAAAACGAGTGCTCGTTTTACTATTATTATTATTAATAATAGTTACGAATATAAATATTATTTACGTTTGGAAACAAAACAGTGTACAAAAATTGGCATGTCGTACTTACCCATATATTTTTTGAAATACCGTTTTCAGGAAAACGGAAATATATGAATAGCAACTCTTGTAGTCTTATAATTGAAGGAGAAAAATGCATATTTTACAACATTTGTTTTTATTGAAAACCGAAACTGCATTATATAATATGCCATTATAAGAGTCCAAAGGTTGATTTGATTATTGATTTCGATTTCATATTAGGCACCTACCTACCTACCTCCTCATATAATGTTAAATTCAGTGACACGGAGCCTGTCTAGAAGCATAGAAGGCAAATATTTCGTACACCCATAGTTTTTAATCCTATCCTACAGGCGTTTGAGTACCTAATTCAATTTTACCAGAAGGTGGAAATTACAATTTCACATTGAGCTTTTACAATATAAATGTTATATTAATTTTATTCATAACATATTCGACGTAATATAGTATATTGTATAATAATTAAATATATAGGGGATCCCGGGAACAAAAATTACATTACTATGTGTTTATTATTTTCAGATAAAAACATTTTTATTTAACAATATAGTGGTCCTTAATTGTATTCAATGACTGGTAGTAAATTTTTAAATAATTTATACTGCAATATTTGCACATGTAGCACCTAAGATTTTTTTTGTTTGAGATAATTATAGGACGTAATCGTCACTACCTTAAAGACAAAACTTAAATACTGGTACCTATACTATCTATACATTTTAAGACATTACCAAGTACCTAGGTAGTATAGTTTTAAAATAAATAATAAATATACCTAGTACAACGAAAAGCCCTGTCCATAAGTCTGTTACTATTTACTACAACTACATGACCTACTAAAGTTATAAGCTCGTTAAGAGTAAATAGATTATTTGGTTCGACTTTTAACGCTAAGCTGTTTCGGTGTAACGTGGATGCTTAAATCCAATGAAAATATTCCATGCGTGCTACATCGACTCATTATGACTAAAAGGGGGTTTTCAATTCCAGCGAAGCTGATGTATACATGTGTGAATCGTTATATCGTATTAGGCGTAAGTGTGAAGTGATAAAGGCACTCGCTGTGAAAATATGTTTTTATCTATTCTTTATAATGTAGGGAAATCATAGGTAATTATCAGACTTTGATGAATTTTCCTATATCAAAATATTCGGAACTATACTAAACGCAGTATTTGAACGGTTGCAGGCATGGTGGAGACAACGATACAGCGAAAACCAGGACCTTGCAAATAAATCAGAGTGCTTATGCAGACGCAATGTAATTTTTAAAAATTTAAATTACTATCGGGGAGTTTTTAACATAATATTATTAAAGTGGCCATTAAATATAACTTGACAAATACTTGAGATTTTATCGTGTTTTATTATTTAAATGTGTCTTTATTTTGCATGTTTATATAATATTATATAAACATACAAAATAAAGAAAAATGATAAATAATAATATTATTATATGAGACAATTTCTACAACATAAAATTCGAATCACTGCATAAATAGGGTGATTTTTTAGAGGTACACACTAATTTTCTCGAAAAGTTTTAGAATAACATTTTTTATAATTTAATATTTACAGTATTATGTGATTGTTATTTGAAAAAAAAAATGATGGTCGAATCAAATACTTAGAATACTATAGATCTTTCAGCTAAAACATTGTTTGGAAATGAATTTGAAATATGTTATAATAATATTATGCTCTTTCTACATAATATTATTATAGTACCTATATACCTATCCCTGCTATAAACATTTTTTATTTAATTCAGCAGAATATTCGATTATCGTCTGTGTTTCAGTTAAAATTTGAAACATTACCAAATGTTTAGAAACTAGCTTGAGTAGAATAATTAATTTTAGAGTATAATCAATATAATTAAAACGGGAGGCACGTTTTTAAGGACCGTAGCCATCCTTATTCCTTAGCATAAACATTTTTACTACCGAGAAACTTTTGCCACGAATATTAAATCAGGTACATCAAAGTTTTCAAAAAAATCATCTTCTAAATAGTTTATACATAAGTATAAGGGGGAGGTTCTGATTTGAAAAACAGAAAATTATATCACCAGTACAAAAATATTCAAGAGTTAGAAAAATAGTCTTTGAGTAGGTTTAGTCAACAGTTTTTGCAAAACACTTGTATGCTTTCGTTGTTTTAGAGGAAAAAATGGGGTCGAGCATGGAATCGCCCTGTATATGTGTGTATGGACAACCGGTGAAAAACAAATAATCGCAACATGCAGCAACCCCATCTCTCACACCGCTGCCCACCCGTTTCCGCCGGAGCGTCGTACGATTAATCAATCGTTTAAAGCTAGAAAACAAAGGGGAGAGTCCGCCGCACTTCTCTGCTCGCAGGTAAATTAATTCGCATTTGCCAAACCGCGTTAAAATGCCTACGCTTTTGCATGTGGTACGATGCACGAGAAGACGTGTTTCGTTGCCATAATAGCATCGTTCGGACACACGGAAAAAAAAAATTTAGTGTTGGTAAATAGTTGATTCATTTTTAGTTGAATAAGCTATATTTTAGGTAAAAATACTTGTCCATTAGCTACCATTACTATTCTTTAGGTGCACCTAAGGGCCAGTTGTACCGTCGTTCCGTCTCTTGGCGATTATATTATATTATTATGATATTAAATATTAATACTGTGCTGGTATGAAGGCGGCCGCGGTTTCCACGTCATATCGACGCCACCTGTGTGTCTGCGTTTTAAAACCTAAATATTATTGTAATATAATAATTGAAGACCTGAGGGAGCAACAACTAGACATCTCCATTTTTTATTAAAAATTGGTTTTTCATGGAATATTATTCATGGAAGAAATATCTATATTTTGGTACATAAATCAGAAAAATCTATTGATTAGTTCCATAGAAATTGCAAAATGATTTTTTCCCGCCATTGGTGGTAAATGAGATAAAAATTAATTTTCTTTCGCTTGTCCTGAAAAATTGATGATAATGGTTGTTGCCCTCAGGTCTATTGATAATAATATATTATGTCACTTGGAGTTGCACAAGCTTTTTCATTTATACGAAAATTTTATTATATAAATTTCAGTCTTGCTCAGTCAGCCGTACCGTGCGGTCGTCAATGCGTTAACATCGCTCTATTATCTGTACCTATTATCTTATTACCTACTTCGATATCTCACTAATAAACTTTATCTCTAATCTAATATCGTTTTTCTACCTACCTTTACAATGTCCAGTAAATGTATAAAATGTAATAAACATATAACTCACCTTGAAGACGTACTTCAATGCAGTTTATGTAAAATCCAAATCCACTTTCATTGCAATGGAATTTCCGAAACAGCCTTCAGAAAAATGACAAACAATACTAAAAAGCGTTTTACATGTACTACCTGCAATACTTTCAAAAGCCCAGCAACCTCCACTGAACCATCCAACTTATTGGAAGACAAGATTGAAGACCTAATAAAATCGGTAAGCTTTATGAGTCATCAATTCGATGAGTTTAATAAGAAAATCGAATCTATATTTAATGAAATAAAATTGGTCAAAATAGAAAACGAACAAATTAAAAAAGAAAATACCATATTATCCAAAGAGATAAGTGAAATTAGACAAAAAATTGACATTCTCGAACAACAAAATCTTGGGGCCAGCATTGAAATAATAGGCATACCAAAAACTGAAAACGAGAACTGCATAAGTATAGTCAAAGAAATAGGAAAAAAAATGAATATCGTCATTCCCGTCATAGAAGCTAGAAGAATTACTGCAGAAAAGTCCAAGTCAAATTTAATTATTGCTAAGCTAGAATCAAAGGAAATAAGAAGTCAACTTATACGCAAATCAAAAAATGAAAAACTTAACGCTAATATGTTAGTCAATAACTGGCCTACTGAAAATAAAATATTTATAAATGAACACCTCACGAAAGACAAAAGAATACTTTTCGCCAAGACAAGAGCAGCCGCCAAAGACAAAAAATATAAATTCACTTGGATATCCAATGCAGAAATCCTTACAAGAAAAGACGAAAACTCAAAAACAATGCGCATCAGAACCTTTAGTGACCTTGAAAAAATGTAAGTCACTAATATGTATTTATTTTTTTTTCTCAACTTTTCTAGTATATATTTTTAATTAAGTTCCTATTTTTCTATGAATCCATTAAATACAATAAATAATATAACTACAAAAGAAACTGTGCCCTTATTAACTATTCAAGAAGCAAACTCAAATCTTTTCTCTGATAATTCAGGTCTAAATATTATGCACGTTAATATTAGAAGTCTTATAAAACACATATCTGATCTTGAATGCCTTAGTGCTGCTCTAAATAATAATAATCATATCATAATAACAACCGAATCATGGATAAGCGATAACTTTAATACTAAATTTATACCTTTTAAAAATTATCAGATAGTAGCCTCAATTAACAATGTGCGTAGAAGCGATGGTATACTTATTTTCATCAAAAATGAAATACACCAATCAAGTACCGAAATTACAATAACAAACGCAAATTGCATGCTTACTCTAATAACATACAAAAATATAAATTACGGAATTATATCTATATACAGATCCCCTAGTGGCAACTTAATTAAATTTATTGAAGAACTATATACAACAATCACTAATATTATAAATTCACATAAAAATACTACACTTATCTTAATAGGAGACATAAACATAGACCTCTTAGACACCACAAATTCAACAGCCGCTTATCTAGATTTACTAAACTCATTCGATTTTATTCAGCTTATCAACCGACCCACCAGACCTCAAACCAATACCTGTATTGATCATATATTTATTAAAGATAACCATAAACACTACAGTATACAAGCCGCAGTTTTAGACTCTCTTATTACAGACCATTTCCCGATAATTCTACGATTAGACAATAAAACTACAAGCGGGAAAAAAGCCTCAAATCAAAATACTTACAAATACGTTGATTTTAACAAACTTAAATTAATATCAAGCATAACTAATTGGAATGAAATTAAATTAGCTAAAACCGTTGAAGACAAAATATCACTACTTACGTCACTAATTCAAAATAACATAAAAAACTGTACTTCTATAAGACCCAAAAATAAAAACCAACTAAAACATTGGATCACTACTGGCATTATACAATCAATAAAAAAGAGAGACAAACTACATACTTTAACTAGACAACAGCCATTCAACACAGCTCTAATTGATAGTTATAAAAAATATAGGAATAAGCTTTCAGATATAATTACGAAACAAAAACAAAATTATTATAGGGAAGCAATCTCAAAAAACAGCAAAAATATAAAAAAGCTATGGTCAACAGTTAAAGATATAACAACCCATACTGAACACAAAATAACTAATTATAATATAAACATTAAAAATAAAATACATGACTCCAACTTAGACGCTACCTTAATTGCAGACACATTCAACTCATACTTTATCTCAATGGGAAATCCTAATAACGTAAATTCTAATAAAAAACAATGCCTTTCTGTCAATAACAATTCCGCTCAATCACTATACCTTAGAATGACCACGAAAAAAGAAATTAACTACACTATTAATAACATGAAAGGGGACTCGGCCCCGGGCAAAGACGGAATTACTATAAATATTGTAAAACATATTAAAGAATCTATATCAGATATCCTAGAACATATATTTAATACAATCTTAGTGGAATGTAATATACCGAATTCATTCAAAACCGCTTTAATCACACCTATACATAAAGGTGGAGATAAGTCCGATATTACTAATTATAGACCGATCAGTCTTCTGAACGTTTTTTCAAAAATATTCGAAAGAATCGTAAAAAAAAGACTTTTAACATACCTAGAGGAGAACCTTATTCTACCTAAATCCCAATATGGTTTCAGAGAAAATTTAGGTACTGAAGATGCACTAGCCCAAGTCTCCAAAGACTTATATACCAATCTAGAACAAAAAAACAAATCTTTAGGAATATTCATGGACCTGAGTAAAGCATTTGACAGCATCTCACACGACATACTATTAAGTACCCTACAATCAATAGGTATAGTTAACAAAACTTACAGACTTTTTGAATCCTACTTAAATAATAGAAAACAGCAAGTACAAATAGGTAATACCTTAAGTGACGAACTTATAATCTATAATGGAGTTCCCCAAGGCACTGTACTATCGCCTATATTATATATAATATATGTAGCAGAACTAGGGAATATAAATGCAAGCATACACGGCAAACTTTTTTCATATGCTGATGACACGGCTCTGATAATATCAGAATGTAGTTGGGAAAAGGCTTATCAACACGCCGAGTCTGACATGTTTACTATTAACAAATGGTTTTATAAACACAATTTGCGACTAAATTTTAACAAAACAAAATTTGTAACATTTACACAGGACAAAAGAACCCAACCGTTAATAAATGAAATTAAAATACATAATCCAAACTGTAAAACTCAGAATAAAAATGACTTGTGCGACATAATAAAAAAAACTGACAATATTAAATATCTAGGCATAATATTCGATCAACATATGAAATGGGATATTCAAATTCAAAATTTAATAATAAAAATGCGGAAACTTAATCACTTCTATATAAACGCTAAAAAAATACTCGATAAATCTATGTTACGTATGGTCTATTTTGCAATGACCCAATCATTATTACAATATGGCATTACCGCCTGGGGCGGACTTGGAATAGTGGCGCAAAACAAATTATTAACAGCACAAAAAAGCATTATAAAAATAATTCTAAACAAATCTAAAACCTATTCATCAGAAAAAATTTTTAAAGATATGAATGTCTTCGACGTAAAACAATTATTTTATAAAAATGCATTATATTTTACATATAAACTAAAATTAATAGAATTTAAACAAATCACGCGGACAACTCGCCAAAATAACAAAATAGCTATTCCTATAATTAAAACTTTAAAATCCAGTAGATACTTCGGTAAAGTAGGCCTTGAACTCTTAAATAACGTTCCTCTTCATATCTTAAACTGTCAATCATACTCAAAATTCAAACTTCTTATAAAAATATGGTTAAAAAATTCATACGACATAACTTAATTTTTCTACTTGTTTTCTATTTATCAGTCTGTACTATATCTTTCTCGCATATGTAAATCAAATAACCTCTACCCTTTCTTTTCCTTATATATTATCTCTATACTTGTGTATTAATATTTTTTTTCTTTTTGTTTTTATTTTAACTTCTTTAATTTTTTCTTGTTCAAATAAATTTTAATGTATAATTAATTAATTAATTTGTAAGACTCCAACTCACCAATACGAGGTTTCACCTCAGTGGTGAGTTGGGCCAAATATTTCTGTTATTATATATTTCAGTTACTATTTTAGTAATTACATGTTTTTGTGTAACATTGTTACTATTACATTGCATGTTTAATTGTTTTTTTATGGCCAAATAAATATTATTATTATTATATTTAAAAAGAAAGTAAAAACCCATGGAAGTCGATCTGCGGTATTGCAATAGGTATTTGTCGAGAGGAACCTTGGCGCGGGTACCGCTCTGCTGTACATTAGTACAGTAGTTGGTCACTGTAATATGGAATTCAATTATATTAAATCATTTTGGAACTACGTAACACCGATTCTGAGCGAAGGCGGTTGGTCAGCCTAAAGCTATTACTAAGTATATTTTATTTCTGATAAAGTAATTAAAGTAATTTATTTAACGATTAGTAACAAAGTAGGTTTAATTGGTAACTGTAGTTTCTATAAAATATAATAATATATTGATTGTCCTGATTTATTAAGTAACATTTGTATTTGTACTCATAGTTATTCGATTAGAAATTCTTGTTTATTTTTTGTACCTTTTTATAAAAAAATAAATATGTACAGATTCATTTTTTCCTAGAGCACTATTATTATGTAATTCAATTTGTGATGAAGTCGATTTCTTTTTTATGTCTCGTGAATCTTTTAGAACAAAAGCTTTATCCCTACTATCTAATTGAAATTTTATATATGTAAATTTTTTTGTGATTATTCGCCTTTCAAACTATATTAATTATTTTGTATATTGTATGGTTGTTTCTAGATTATTATGTAATATATTTATGTAAAGGGCTTGTCCCGTAAAATGAAAACAAATAAATAAATAAATAAAATAATAATACCTATATACATTAAAAATATTATGTGCCCACAAATGATATTTTTTAATTACAACAAAATATCTAAAATCATCATTCTCCGTTTAAATCTTTAATTTCATATGTCAATTAAAAAAAAAAAATAATGAATAATATATAATTTTTACTATTTATAATTTTATGGTTACAAGTATGAAATAATTATGAGCTCTATGAGAAACCTTCGTTTAAATTTCCAATCCTTAACTATAAAAAGGTGGGCAAGTCGGTGTAGCTCATAACGAGTCAAAATATTAAACAAATTCTATCATACCTACATAAAAAATGATAAAATAAATATTTGTTAAACATTTTATGTATCTATAAGTTTTTGAATTACAACAAAATTAGAAAATCGTTCTATGAAATCCGAAGCATTAATTCAACTATTTATCGTGTAAGTACACAGATTATAAAAAAAACACACACACCATTGTTAAATAGATAATCAATACATTCATCAATCTGCTCAGAATCTGAAATCGATTTGACTAGTTTGAAAATGTTTCAAGTTAGGATTTATTATCATTTAATATATGTTTTTAAAAGCCATGTATACATCATATTATATATTTATATACCAGATAAAATATTTATTTTAACTGATTATGTATTTATATTGTTTTCATTTTGCAGGCAGTACTTGATATTATACTACAAGGAAATTTTAAAGCTGCCTGAGAAATATACGAATAGATATTGAAGTTATTGAAGAGTTCAACACCCTTCTTCCAGAAAAAGGCCTTGACTTCAACTTTATAGTCAGTATAAAATATAAATACCAAATCTGCTATTGAGAATGTGTAAAAATGAAATATTTCTTTCACCTTCGTTGAATAAAAAAGTCAGATAGGTTAGAAGCTTGACAAATACTGGCACATTTTGTCACGGTCGATTTAGAAAAAAAGATGGTTTTACATTAAATCCTCTTATGTAAAATATCTACCAACAACCGAGGACGGACCCGCACGCAGTTTATGGTAAAATGAGATTCTGAGTGTTTTGAATAGAAAACACATTTTAGTTATATTTGATAAAAAAATAAATAAATATATTACCCAAGGGAACATATTATTTAAAAAAAATAATGTTTGTTCAAATATAAAAGAACAAAACGGTCTTAAATATTTTCTCTCGTTATTTATTTAATATTATCATTTACATTTAGGTATTAATATTAAATAATTTATACTTTCGATAAATTAATTTCATCGTAGGTATATAATATACATATTATATATTTACACATATATATAATATGCTTCTCACGGGTACTTGAATATTTATAATATTTCATTATCCCTATAACCTTTCGAATTACTTCTCAAGTATTGATTGGTTGTTTCAGTGCAAGCACGCGTGTTAAAAATAATAATATTATTATAGCTGCGGTTTCAAACAACTCTCATCACGGCATGCCTACAAATAAACGACAAACCGTTAGTCTGCTTTTTTTCTCGTAATTATTACTATTATTATATATATAGTCCACCTATGTCATTAGCAGGGACGTCTTGAGTACGGGACATTTGCATGTCTGTAAGTCAGGTCGATAGTAGGTTGCATATGTGTGTACAGGACATGACCGTGGCCAGGTTGGGCTTAGGGTTCAGGCATCCCCCCCCCGAAATTTTTCTTAAAATATTATTAAGCTTATTTACATTTTAAAATGTGTTAGTAAAAAAAAAACAATTATACTCTAACCACCTGTATCTTACACCCCAGACAAATTGTTTTTCTACGGTCTCGGAAGAGGACAAGAATGAACAACTGGCTAGCCGATAAACACAGAAAAGCATGTTGAAATAAATGTATCATGAATATATGAGTGGAATTGATTACGCCGACCAAACTGTAAACTATTGTTTTAGATCCTTGAAAAACGTTGAAATGGTACAAAAAAGTTCATATCATTTACTTGATATCCACATTGAGTGATCACGTTTTACTTACCTAACTATATATAAAACATTTTAAATGGTATGATATGCGTTTCAAACGAGATTTAATTATAATAATTATTTTGTAAATTTCGCTTCTGTGACAGCAACTGAATTTATTATTTGATTTAAAAATGAGGCAAATCGTTAACTAGTACCTTAAAATTACCACTATCGAGAACGTATTCAAGCACCTACCCAAAAATATCCGAAGGTCAAGTGCAGTTTTAAAAATTGAGAGGAATATGTACCAAAAATAAAAAATGAAACAAACACATTTGCATTGTAATGCATGATAATTTGCGTATGTGTATAGGTAGGTGCTATATAGGCAGAGGCGGATCTTCGATATTTTGATAGGGGGGGGGGGGCACATATAAATTGTATAATTTTAATTTCAATTAATATTACATACATATAGCATACTATCATTTTTAAGCAATAATAATTATGATAAATAATAATTAATATTTGGTAGAATTATTCTTAAATTAATTTTTCATTTGTATGATACTCGTAGTTACATAATACAATTTTCGATAGAAAATTGACATGGGGGCACGTGTCCCTGTGCCACCTCCCCTGAATCCGCCACTGTGTATAAGTATATGTTTTGAAAATCGGTTTGAGATCTATGTGGAAACGTAAACTACATATATGATATAATACATTATCTAAGATTATAGTTATTTTACTGTTTTTATTATTTTCTAAATCATTTGAGCGTAGAAACCTATTTTAATTTAGACACATTGTTTTTATAATTGTTATTTATTAATAATCCTCACCAAATTTGATAAAAATAATTATTATTACATAGCTGCGGTTTCAAACGACTCTCGTCTTGTTATATACCTTCTGCAAATAAACGACAACCCGTTCGTTATTTATTTCTCTTATAATTATTACTATTATAATATAGTTCGCCTGTATCATTTAACAGCTATGGACGTCTTGCGTACGGGACATTTGCATGTTTGTCAGTCGGGTCGATAGTAGGTCGCATATAGTTGTTGTATAATATAATATAATATATAGTGTACAGGACGAGAAGAAACCGGCAACGTCCAAAACAAATGTTTCGACCATTTATCATTACCGGTGGTGGAAGCGTAATTGCGAATGCGGACGATCAGCTGTTGAGACGTATATTATTATATTATAATATATTTTTATAGTATAAAATATGGAAATGCTGCCAAGTGGTTTGCGATTGAAGACTCTCAAAAGACTCTCAAAATCTATAATCGTATAAAATAATTGTAATTTGGTACCTATTTATAATATTTTAGATTCCGAGTAGAGAGGAGTATGTATTTATTTTTTAAATCACAAGCTGTCGAGAATTTATCTCATCGGAGACTAAAAAGCTGATATACGGTACGCATTTACACGATCGTAACAATAATAATATTAATTATTATAAATTATATAATAACATAAAATAAAACGTATTTTGCCGGTGAAAGTGAAATAATTAATATAAATTATTATTGAACTACGTTCGAGCGGAAGCACTTATTGTTATTGTTATAAAACGTTTTTATTACGATTTTTTCATACATATTATCGTAGTTCGTATGTACAGTGTATATAGGCACCATAGCTATAACTCGTAAATATTTTTCAACAAAACGACATGTCTGATAAATACTTGGTTGGTTTTATAGGACCATTTTCCTGGCACACCGTCGCTTTGGAATTTCGGCTTGAAATGTACTGTTGTATCGATCGTACATTCGTACCTCGTTACAAGTTATACGCCGCTCCCACCCCGTTTAACTGTAGACGTCCACGAAGTCGAACTCCCGGCCAAATTATCTTCCTATCTCTTCCACAAACATTCGTTAATATTTTGCCAACTACGGTATAATAGTGTTTGCTGTTTACTATTTCCAAAATCGTTATATTTTGACGAGAGATCGGAATAATAGCGTTCAAACTATCTGCTTGCACAGTTGCACGA